GTGGGAGGGAGGGGGGGCATGTGGGGTGATTCTCTGATTCATGTCACCCTGCACCTCCAACTAGCTGCTCCCAGCACCTGCTCTGAAACCACAAACCCCTTTGTCTCCCTGTGGGCTGGGCCCGATTGTGCCCATCCATGTGGACAGACACAGTGCGCTGCGTGTGCATCATCTGCCTCAGTGCTATCGGTCTTTCGTGCTCTCATAACGGACCCGTGAGAAACCACAGCGGTCCTGAGAGTAACTCGGCTGACTCACAAACAGCTCATCTGCTTTACCAATCAGCAGGGGAAACTTCAGGTACAAGGATGTAGCATTGACAGTGGAGTCAAATCAATGGAGTTGTTACCCCCTTTCCCTCCCACATCCACATCCTCCACATCTATGGACATCCTTTTCTGGTACTCAATATCTTCCCTGAATTATTAAATAGTATGTATTAGGCCTATAGCGAGTCAATACTTTAAATATAGGGGTTAAGCATCTATTAGACCAGCTGGACTTGTTTTTATTTTATTTTGTTTCTGTTCTCCTGTGTCTCTTCTCTCTGAACAGGTTGTAAAGGGTGACAGACAGCTGTGTGTCCATTCATCCATATTAAGAAGTGCCACCAATCCCTAGGATGGGTTATTATTGTTGCTTTTTTAGTCTTTTGTTTACCTGCTACATTTCTGAACTGAAACCAAAATCTGTCACCATGAATGTGTGATGTATAACGATGGTGGATCCCATTATTTTCAGCTTCCTATAAGGTGCTGAATCAATATTTGAGCTACGGCACAAAGAATTGACCTTGACGTTCAATTTTACAATTACTGTTTCTGAATGAAGGGAGCGAGGAGTATGATTCTAGACTTAAATTGTATAGGGTGTGTATGATATCATTGTCAGGGCTCTCCCTGGATCCATAACAATGGAGTGGCACTCGATTGCTGTCTCGCTGAATCACGGAGTCCTGCTTGGTTATTGGTCGAGCTGTGCAAACCAATCGTCAGTTGTCGCATCCTCATACAGACCCAGTGCAGTTTGATTGAAAGTATCTGAAAAAAGGGCAAGTAGCCTATCTAGTGTGCCTTTGCAATCCCTCTTCCCTTTGATGGTTTCTTTCTTTGTCCTTATCTTCAGCACACCAGTGGTTAAGTCTCTGTTCACATCCAGCTTTGAGGGTCAACAGTAGCAAATGCTGAGAGATATAACTTCACAAACTTGCCCTAGTAATAACAGATGCAGCCTAGGGAGCACCAAGCAGAGTGAATTATCCATGGTGAGAAAGCAATCCCATGCCATGGGACAATGTACTGTACATTCTGTAATCAGTCTTGTTTTATATTGTACATACAGATAGATATACGCACATGATGTCATTTAATTTAATAAATAAGGGTATGTGAGGGGAGATATACCCCTTGCAAAAGAGTCAAATGGGACCCAAAAGTGAATTTAAACCGTGTGTTTTTTGTACACATGTTGTGTTAAAAAAGTGAAGCCCCCTATAAACAAATATTATCATATTAATGGCAAAAAAATAAATTAATCCAAAGTCCAAAGCAAGATATCTTCACTATAACTATTGGCCAGATTCTCTTCAGTTTTTGCATGGATTTTATCGATCAGCTGGGAATAATTTCTTAGTGACACCGTGACCTTAAGCATCACTATTGGATCAAAATTCTCTCTTGGCCAGATATTGGGCACTGGCAAGCTATTTTAAAAAGTAAGTGCCAGATGTCCATAAAATCTGCCATGAGTATTTATAGTCAACACACAACCCTGACCTTTAATCTGACACACCATATAGCTAAAATTTCTACTTGTGCACGAGATAGTTCCATTGGCAGATTGTCATGAAGTTTTGTAAGCATGCGTCAAAGGAAATGAGCAGTTTTTTATTTTAATGCCTTTACTCTCAGGACAAACCTAACAATTTAAGCTCCACTGTTGGTTCTAAGAGCAAATAATCAGTATGCCAAACAATTTAATATTATAGCTCGTAATTGTTATTGCTATTTAGAGACTTGTTTAGTCTTGTTTCACTTATAAATCACTTATAAATCTAAACTTTCTCTCACTACAGTAAAAAATAGGTCACATAAGATGAAAAAACTCATAAAGCAACATCTGCCCGAGAAGCACATGTGGTTTGACTTCACATGCGGGATTTCACGTGTGACTTAACTGTAAGGGACATACTAAGAAAAATGCCTTTTATATTCAACTAGAGACAGCAGTTCATATTTGAGCAGGGAAGCTACTGTGTGTGTGTGTGTGTGTGTGTGTGTGTGAGTGTGTGTGGGTTTTTTTGTGTGTGTGTTTGTGTGTTTGTTTGTTTGTGTGTCTGGGCTTGCGTGCTTGCATGCATCCGTGCATGTTTGTGAATGTGTGTGAGTGTGTATGTGTGGGTGTGTGCATGTAAATTCAGTATAAGCCCTTGGGCCACACCCACACATCCTCATGTTAGCCATTCAATGAGTGAGAGAGAAACAGTCAGGCAAAGTAACCTCTATCCAAATTGATATGACTGCAGACTGGCAGTGTTTATTTTAGTTTTCACTGACTTATATGCCTATTGCACTTGGCTTCACAGACAGCAGTCATGTTTTTGCTTGTGGGGGTGGTGTCTTGAGACAAAGCACGTCCATAATTCATAACTATTGTCAGCTCTGGAGGCCACTTGTTTGCTCCCTCCCTGCTCTTGCTGTCTCTTAACATAGAATGCACGTGGCCCTGGGTGTACTGATGGCATCTCAAGGCGCACACATGCACACACACACAATACAAACAGGTAAAAGTTGTACATACACACACATCAACAGGTACACGTGGCACATTCAGGTCCACACGGGTGTGTGCTTCATGCACAGTCACAGTTGCACATACACACAGGCACACACAGTTTGCACAAACAAAAGCCCAAACAGCCATTCTTGTTATTTCGGCTGCTTCAGAATCAATTTGATGGATCGAATGTCTGGAGGTATTACGACTGACTGATGGAACCAGGATTCTAAATGCAGCACAGAAAGGGACACTCTACACTGCATCACCCAGGGAACACACACACACACACA